AATTTTCTCTGTAGTGAACAAATATAATTAAACATTTTCTGCTCTTTGTGAAGGTTTTTTATGCTTCAGCACGCACAAATGTGAATCTTTTCGCCACAGTGCTTAATAGCATAGAAAATTCCTTGGAAATCAACAAAGGTTGGATTTCGCCCGCTTCCGCCTATATTTTTCTCCAACTATACTGATCTGAATGGAATTCAATTCTAGTAAGCATCATTTTGCGCCTCAAGCCAACCCAATGAACTTAATAAACGACCTCAAGTTTGAGTTAAATTCTCCGATCCTCAACCTTTCATCAGATATGTGACCTACTGTAGGTTTAATGTCCAGGATTGTCTGTTGTTGTTCTGTTTTCATAAAAAAAACTAGCACTGCATATTTGATCTCTCCGGATATAACACTCGGTCTGCCAGCTTTACTTCAATATAGGATTCAGAAAGCAAACTGAGTCGGGAGTCTGCAGGCCTTCTGCGAGTTAAAAATGGAAGCCACTATGATGAATATTTAAATTGGGTTTTTGCAGTATCTATAACGTTTTTACGTTAAAAGCCCAGATAATAATGCAAGCTTTCTAACGTTTAGTTAAATTGTGGTTAACAATATGACGGTTCTAGCTACACCGAACGTCTTAACTGTCCTCCAATATCTGGATGAATTGAATCGTAAGAAAAAATACTATGCCATCACTAATTATTTAATGCAGATGCCGAAGAGTTGCAAAAACTCAAAGAAGAAAATGCCCATCGGAGCCTAAACGGCGACTTTTACGACGGAACGTACGTGCATGATCAGCGTCATGGTTATGGCAGGTATACGTGGTCTGATGGGAAGGTAAGTGTATGGTTTTATGCGGCCGGGGTTTTTTATTTCTCATAAAACATGCTCTGTTCTAACCAAGATCCGATTTCGCTCTTAGACTGGGATGTAACAGACTCTTTAACTTTAAATATAATATTAATGAATCTGTATATCTGTTTTTTGCACATATCATTTTCTCTGTGAACAAACCCTTTAATGTCAAGAAAAATTGTTAACCACAGA